TATCAAAGTATCTTGAAAAGTATTTAGGTGTTGTTGCTTCACAAGCTTTAACATTAGTTTGGATTACCACATGTGATGATCCGTAATGTTGGTATTAATGGTGTTGTAATGGAGGTCGGGTCGGGTGAGGCCGTGAGGGCGAGGGTGAGGGTGGGATTATGTGTTAATTAGTTAAAGTAAACATTAAAAAAATACAAAAAGAGGAACATTTTAATCATTTCATGTGTATCTAACAAAACAATACAAACAATAACGGTCTCACATTCCTCTGCTGCAAGATTTGAAAACCGTAAACACCAATCATTTTAATTTTTCAAAAAAACAAACCAAAAATACATGTTGAAACAAACCACAAAGACCAAATCCGTAATTTACTCTAAATAAGATAATATTCTTCTATAAATAAAAAGATAATCAATTACTGTATTTGATAGTTAACCTAATGGGTTTGATATTATTAATGGGCTGTCGAACCCCAACAGGCGAACACTAACATGGCCCACAAAAAGTTTTTTTGGCTGTTGCCATTTGGCAGCATGCATAATCCTCTAGTCTCAAGTGTGCTCCACGTGGCATCACCTCCTTAATTTATTTGATATCTTCATTGGACAACCTTTAGTCGTTATCAAGCCAGTTATTTGACGTTAAAAAAACGCCCGTGGTATTCGAATAGGAACAAAATTGCATTCAAGTCCCCACATGTTATTGGTATTTTTCATATACCACCCTCACACTTCGTTAATAATTGATTATACCATATTTTACCAATTTTAGTTCAAGATTTATCTTAAAGCCAATGAAAGTCACATGGTCATTTCATGGTTGAGTTAATGTAAAATAGTGTTTGACATGCAAATCAACAGGCGGTGGAGCTCTTTAATAGAGTCCAACGGGTCATGCATTCTAATATCATATCTCCTAGATCCACAAATGTTGTTTTCAAAAGAATTGGTTTTGCCATCCAGAAAGGATTAGCGGCACAGCTTGTTGCCCGTTTGCCTTCAATCGATATGTATTGAACTATAATACGTGAGTATTCCAATGATATGGACTAACCAAATATATATATATATATATATATATATATATATATATATATATATATATATATATATAATGACAACATGTAAATAAAAAGTTATATACATTTTTTAAATTTAAAGAATCTAATTAATAAATGTTTTTCGTTATATATATATATATATATATATATATATATATATATATATATGATTTGATAGTTGCTGATTGAGTCAATGCTGACTTAGTCAGATAAAACTCTGAATTTGACCGAGTAAGAAATATATCAAAGGAGTCAATATCGAATCAAAGGCTGCTAAGTGTGATATCAAACACCCTAAAATGACTGAGGGGTCGTTTGATAGTTGCTAACTGGATTAGAGCTGACTGGGTTAACTTCTGACTGAAACTTGCTGTTTGATTTTGCATCTGACTTACTATGAAAAATGACTATATTACCCTCAAACTACATTTTTTTTTTATAATAATTACATTATGATTTACCATTTAATTTTTTACATTATATCTTTTACCCAACACATCATACATACTTATAAAGCTAACATTTTTTCTTGAATCTCATGTATTTGAAACCCCCGTAAAAATTTACCAACACCTCATGCATTTGAAACCCCCACACCCTTTCACCTTCAAAGTAATTAATCACACATAATCTCATTCCAAGAAAATCACACACTCTATAAGTTCAACACCTCATGCATTTGAAACCCCCACACCCTTTCACCTTCATTATATATGCAGTTATATTAGTACATTTTTCTTACAAAAAGTCATCATTTGGTTGAAGATATTATGATTCAAAAGTTTTCATATAGTTGAAGCATTCACGATCCAAATATGTTGATTTGAAAAAATGAGTTATGTCGCATCGATGGTAATTGTAATATGATTTTTTCTTTCAACCAAAACAAATGAAGCTTTTCTATTCTTTCTTTATATTTAATTTCTCATTTGATCTTTATATGTGATTTTTATGTATTACTCAATCTTGAATGTGACTCTCCAAACATCAATGTTTTGCTTGGAATATCTTTTTCATTCTTCTTTTTCAAGAAAAACATTTTGATTCCAGGTTAGTGAAGAATTGTCATCAAGTTTCTATGGTTGAATGATGTTAAATAAAGAAAGAAGATTCAGAAAACAGATATAGTTTTTTTTTGTTTGAGCAAAGTAGACGAATGTTAGTTTTTTCTTTTGATTTAAACGTATATTTATGTAACATTTTTATTTATATATTCAACCACCCAATGTTCTTATTTATTTGACTGTAGTTTTTCTATTTTGATTATGTTTATTTTCTATTATTTTTTTGTTGGGTTATCCTACACAACATATTTACAAGACAATATTTAAAAGATAACATAATTTTTAACATTTGATATATAATTATGATGACTTATCATGATATGTTCTTCATATAAAAGTAATTTATCCATATTAGTACGACAAGAATTACATATCACATTTACGAAAATATATATTATATGTGATTTGTTTAACATATATATGCACCTATGTATGTTATAAATTTATAATTAAATATCTTTATGTTTAATAATTGAAGTCAAAACCAATTATTTAGATGAATATAATAATAATAATAATAAATACACATTTCCAAGTACCGTATTCATTTGAAACTCACACTACAACTCAAGAGTTTTCTAATTTATGTATATTTATTAGTTACAACTCAAGAGTTTTTAACTTATGATTATTAATTAGTAATCAATAATAACTTTTTATTTTTCTTTCTTTTATAATGTTGTAAAGTTTTGCTCATTAAAAACATTAATGTATTTGAAGAGATTTGTCATTTAAATATGAAAAGTTAATATAAATGTTATAATAAATGTTTTAGTGTTTTTATGTTATTAAAAGTTGTAGTGTTTATTTTTCATATTTTTTATTATTTGTTGTATATATATCTTTTTTAATACAAATGTTATACTAGATGGTTTTGTATTTTTATGTTACTAAAAGTTGTAGTTCATATTTTTGTTGATACATTTAGTTACCCGTTATATATAGATTACCATACGTTTGATATATAATTTACACAATTTTAAGCGGTTTATAACATTATCAAATAATTGTATATATCACAATGACTTAAAAATTAAAACTATAATCATCATATGATATTATATTATAAAGGAAACATTTTTTCTTTCACCACATTCATTTGAAACTCTCATCTTTTCATATTTCCATACAATATGCTTAATTTATTAACTTAAATATGCTTTTAGTTGTAAACATTATCATAAATGGAAGAATTTGTGACTTATCAATATGATACACTTAATTTGTTAACTTCAATATATAGTTAAATAAATAATCTACATTAATATATCAAATAAGCTTAAAAATTTAGTGTAAAATTTAAAACCTAAAGTAAAATATCAAATAATGTTTAAAAAAAAATTCAATATATATTTTTTAACATAGTTAAAAGCAAAACATTAAATATAATAATAATAAAAGAACCTAAATTGATGAATCGAATTAACTAAAAGGTGTCTGAAAACTATATTCTAACAATAGATTTTTAACATGCGACACGCAACGCGCGATAATTCATCTAGTAAATATATAAAAGAAACAAAATCAACATCTAAACACCATATGAATTCAGGGACAATTTGTACAATTGATAACCATTCAAGCAGCCAATCAAAAAAGTTGTGAAAAATACAGAAACTACAACAACAAATTTTGAAAGAACACCAAATGTAGCAACGAACTTTGAAAGAACACCAAATGCAACAACAAACTTCGAATTCAGCCAACTTTAAGAAACACCAACTACAACAACGAACTTTGAAAAAACACCAAAAGCAGCAACCAACTTTGGGGGGAGACCTTTTAAAGCAGCCAACTTGGAGAGAGAACAAATATAACAACCAAAATGAGTATACCTCCAGTTTTTATTTTGATCAAATACTCATAAAAAATCAATGAGTAAAAAAATTTCTTATTCTTAGTTTGATCAAATATTGATCAGTTCTTTTTCCTAATTTCTCAATAGTCACAAATAATAATAATATGACCATCGTGATTGATTCTTTAACTTTCAATTCAATACTCCACTTGATAATTCATTGAGTCAATTTGTAAAATTTAAGCACAGGACCATCATGATTCATTCTTCAATCTCAACAATTATTCACGAATGAAAGAGAGGGTGTTTACCTGTGTTGACCCAGCTCTGTCCGAGTGTCTGGAGAAGGTGGCGATCGGAAAGGAGATTTGGATTCGTCAGAGGGGGATGGATTGATGTAATCGCGTCGTCTTCTATTGCTATTGTTGCTGCGTGATATTCTTTTAGGTCACATATTGTAGAGGTCACTGGCGTCGGCGGAGGAAGGAAACAACAGGGAGCGACGGCTGGAGGAGGGTGTTCTGTCGATGGAAACAATGGTTCATTCCACTTTGTGTGATTTTCATATGCGATGGTATTAGATCGAAATCGACACAAGTGTGGAGTGTTGAGAATCGATTACAAATTTTGGAATCTAGGGTTTTTGATTTAACCTTACCACTGTTGGAGGAGGAGCGAGATGGGAGACTGGAAGCAATGAGAGGTGAGGATGAAGGAAGAAAATGTTGGCAAGCGAAAGAGAAGGGCAGAGGAGGGAAAAGAAGAGTTATGCCTCAGTCAGCGTTTATTTTTTCCAGGACTCGGTCAGACCTCCATTTGTCTATCTACTGACCGAGTAAGAACAAAAACACTGATATCAAACAGCTTGACTCGGACCGGGTCAGATAAAAGCTTTGACTGACCCAGTCAGAGTGAAATCAAACAGCCCCTGAGTCGGACCCAACCTCTTACAAAGAGACAAGACATATCTCTAATTCAATGGGTAAAACTTGCAACTTTGAAAACGTTAGGGGCAGTTTTTGTAGAATCGCTTTGTATAAATAATACTTTGACGAGAAAAAAAGTCAACCATTTTAGCGCAGACGTTATCCATTGCTGGCCAAGGCGAGCTCTCGACGGAGAAACAGAGAAACAAGAACATGTACACGAAGCAAAAGCAATTAGGGCGGAGGCTTGAACGAAGAAATGCGTTCAAAAATGTCGATTATGACGCTTCTACATCGACCTCATCATCTTCTTCTTCGTCTTCGCCCTTGTTTGATATTCAATCAGCTCATCGAACTCAATCACTTGATATTCGTTTGTTATCGGATGGAATTAGTCACCGGGTTGAAGGAAATGAAGGCGAGGTCGACCTGATTTGCCGGTCTCTAGGGCTGTCTGGGCCGGAAGATTTTGCAATTCCGGCGGCTGATTGGGAAGCTCACAAAGCTTTCTCTCCAACGGGTAGTAATTATTTCATTGGTTCTAGATTTGGTTGTTTTACTCCGGATTCAACAAATCAATCTCCAAGGAGTGATTTCTCGGAGGGTTTTGAATCTCCAGCCACGGTTAATTGCGACGAGGTCCAGCTTGATATTGGATATTTGCGATTAACAAAGGCGGAGGAAGTTAGGGTTTTGGTGGACAATGGAGGTAGAAATGGTGGCGATGCTGTGATCGGAACTGGAATCAGTGAGATCAAGCGTGTAAACGAGTGTTCGGAAGGTAATGGTAAATGTAGAATCAAGGGTGTCCGACCGCCGTTACTTGCTCGTCCTCCTGCTATGCCACGAGTGATTGTCGATAATCCTGGTTCCGGTGGGGTTTCAGTTCGTCGTTTTGCTCCAGTTATCAGCTCGTTAACTGAAGATACGGCGGCGTATGTAAAACCTCCGGTTGCTAAAAATGCAGTGCCAAGTGGGACGATGACATTAAGATCCATTCTTCCTCAATCTATCTTGGATACAACCGATTGTGAGGATGATGTTTGCTCTACTGCAGCCCCTGAACTCGATTTTTTTGTTTCACCAAATGGATCTGTGAGGTTCAATATCAAAAACTGGCAGAAGGGCGATTTTCTTGGAAGTGGGTCGTTTGGAACTGTTTATGAAGGCTTCAATGAGTAAGTAATGCAATTCTCTATTCCATCTTCACTTTCCAGTTCCTGAGAGGAACTTATACGTTTAATTGCAGGTATGGATTCTTTTTTGCAGTGAAGGAGGTTTCTTTGCTTGATCAAGGAACCCAAGGACAGCAGAGCATTCTTCAACTTGAACAGGTGATTTATAATAATTATAATTTATGGTTTACATAATCATTGACCCTTGATTTGCTGCACATTGAGATGTTTTCATATTCCACATTGTTTCAGGAGATATTTTTATTAAGTCAATTCCAACATGATAACATAGTTCGATACCTTGGGACAGATAAGGTATGCTTCTTATTTCTTATCAATGAAACTAGTTTGCTATTTGTAGCATTTAAACCCTAAAAACATGATGAAATGGTGTTTCAGGATGATGGAAAACTATACATCTTTCTCGAACTTGTACCCAAAGGTTCTTTAGCAAATCTTTATCAAAAGTATCACTTGCGGGATTCCCAAGTGTCTACATACACAAGGCAGATTTTGAGTGGTTTGAGTTATCTTCATGACCGAAATGTAGTACATAGGTAAAACTTCATGCTCCTTCTAAAAGATTTATATATATGTATATGTATATATAAATATATAAATTTCATATTAATCTTTCAGGGATATAAAATGTGCTAATATATTGGTCGATGTTAGCGGATCTGTAAAGCTTGCAGATTTCGGGTTGGCAAAGGTAAATGCCACATATAGTTATTTATTTATTTCTCTGTGAGTATATATAAATATATCTACAATATTTAACACCTTTTTTATCATAGGCTACGAAATTAAATGACATCAAATCTTGCAAGGGGACTCCATATTGGATGGCACCCGAGGTTATTTCTATTCTCTTGATAACATATGTCTGTCGTCTTCGTCTGTGTCTGTGTCTGTGTCTGAAACAATTTTGTTGTGCATCCCAGGTTGTTAATAATCGAAAAAACAAGGGATATGGACCCGCAGCCGATATATGGAGTCTCGGGTGTACTGTGTTGGAGATGCTAACAAGTCGAGTTCCATACTCCCACTTAGAAGGGGTACATACAACACTCACATCAATATTTTAATATCTATATAATCTTTTTAGTAAATATTTCTTCTTTTTACTTTTTTTTTTAACCAAATTTACGTTATTGTAGATGCAAGCATTATTCAGAATTGGTAGAGGCGAACTTCCTTCCATTCCTAAAACATTGTCTGAAGAGGCCCGGGATTTCATACTTCAATGCTTACAAGTTAACCCGAACAATCGGCCTACTGCTTTCCAATTATTGAATCACTCATTTGTGAAGAGCGCAGTGTGCATGAACTTAAGCCCTGTTTCTCCACTATGTGGGGCCCGATTACCTTGAGCATATTTGTAGAAATGGTCAAGGGTTAGTCTCAACAACCATATTGGGTATTGGGCTTTAAGTCAGCCCGCTAGCTAGACCTAGATGGTTGTTGTTTTATCTGATGTATATTTCACATGATTCTTATTTGATTGAGCTGTGAAAGATCAGAGATTGCTGGAAAAACAACTCGTTTTGCAACAGTATCTTGTAAATAGTGATTGTGTTTGGTGGTTATTTTTTTTTATTTTTTTTTTTGTAGATGGGGGAGTCATTCACATTGTTTTATGAAATAAGAAAGTAGTAAACTAATGAGATAAATTGCGAAGGATTCTATCTTTTTGTGTGTTCTCAGTGTTTAACTTCATCATAACTAATGAGAGAAATCACAAAGTAGTCGACAACTAATGAGTAATGAGAGATATTACAACTCTTTATAAATAGTTTCCGGTGACTTACATGGTAGTTGGATTTGTGTTTCAAAAAAGAAAAAACATAATAAATGGTCCCCGTGGTTTTTCTAGATCTGAAGTTTAGTCCCTGTGGTTTAAAAACATCATAGATGGTCCCTATGCTTTCAGAACTTTTGATGATTAGTCATTATTGCAAACTCCGTTAAGTTTTGTTCGTTAACTGAATGACATTTCGTCATTTCACTACCACAGGGACCATTTATGACGTTTTCACTTATTTTTTTAAAAAATTAAATATAATTATTTAATTTATAAAAGCTCTCTCTCTCTCTCTCTCTCTCTCTCTCTCTCTCTCTCTCTCTCTAGAATCATCGTCTCACCCTCCCTACAATTCACCACACTAACCCACCTCTGCTGGTAAACCAACGCCACCACCGATCAATCGACTCCCACAACCCACATCCTCTCACTGACCTTTCCTTTTCCATCATGTTTTTACATCTTGAAATCGGTGATAGTTTCATTTTATTTACTTCTTATTATAGTTTATTTTAGCACATTTCATTCGCATTTTAGTTAATTTTCATACATATTTTCCTTTTTGTTATTTTATGACCATTTCGGGTACTTTCTAGTTTTCTGAGCATAATTGCAGATTTTTTGGAGATTAGCGGAGCAGAATCTACGGGAGGCGATTGGACTTGGAGGACAACGAAGACTTTGGGCTTGATGGCTATGGAGGTGATTCATGGAGTGGGTTTGTCAATTGCTTGAAGGCTTGGAAGAATTGAACTTTAATTTGCAAGGTGCGGGAGAATTTTCGAGTGAGCGGAGATCGATGATCGGGCGTTTGCGGAAGTTATGAGTGATTTGGAGAAAGCAAATTGGACTCAAATTGAAGAAATCTTGAAGAAATATGGGCTAGGAACTGATCGGGCTCAAACTGCTCAAATGGGCTAAGCTGTGAAGGCCCAAGACTTGAAGAATGCCAAAACCCCGTCATCCTCACGCGGCCCGCGTAAGGTTTCCACGCGGCCCGCGTGGATTTCTGCAAGGGCATTTTCAGGATTTTGTTTGGAGCTCTATATTGGGAAGGTTGATGTGCCTCTTTAGCCTTATCTTGGACATCCGATTTTGAGACATTCTCTCTGGAGTTTAGAAGACTTTTGAAGGCCAAGAATACCTCAAGAACATCATCTTTTCATCTCTTGATTCTTGTAAAATGTTGGGTACAATCTTTTCTAACTTTGTTTTCTTAAGTTTAGCCATGCTTGGCTAGACAAATATTGGTTGAGTTTGGTGAAATCCTTTGACTAATTGTTGCATGTTGAAGACTCCATGAACTTGTGTTTGAATCTTTATGAAAATGTTTTGTGTTTTAACATCTTATCATTACTTGTATGTTTTTATTTATGAGTTTAAATGTGTTTGTGGTGATTAGTTGGCTAATTTCTTGATTAGGTAAAGGATCTTCAAATTAGCAAGCAACAAGTGATTTTTATGTTAGTTTTACTTCACAGAATCATAAAAACATTTTCTCCAAGATGGTAGTGGAAGCTTTTGACTCTTCGGATTTGGTGACTTTTTAATTTTTAATGCTAGTTGACTTTCACTAATTACATGCTTAATGGAATTTGTGACTTTGACTAAAGAAATTGTTATGAGCTTCGCTAACCATTTCAACAACTAAGAAAAGTCTAGGTAATCTCAAGCTTCTTGGATTACTATAGCCAAATTAAGGATTTAAATCAAGTATTGTACCATTGGATTCTAATGATATGTTCATCAAAAGTCAAAGTGAGGAAACCTAAAGTCAACCATCTTTCTCTTATTGATTTTACATCAAACTCTTGTTTTTGTTGAAATTGTTTATTTAAATCTTAGTTTAATCCTAGTTTATTTCAAGTGTTTCAAAAGACCACCCCCCTTTTTTTAATTTATTGTTATTTTTACAAGTATTTTTACAAAGAGATTTTCATAGAGTTATAAAATTGAACCAATCTCCATGGATACGATCCCTTTACCACTATACACCATTTTAGTGTGCAAAATTTAGGGTTATTAATTTTGTTGGCCTCGACTACCACCAAATTTTGGCGCCGTTGCCGGGGATTGGTTTATTTTTAATCAATTTGTTTCTCTATGCCCAGATCTCAACGTACAGTTGCTTTGATTTATAATCCGGAAATTGAAAAAGAAGCAAGACGTTTGGCGAAGGAAAAGTGTCACACCCCCGAACCAGACGGCGGAAACGTCCGGGGCCTTGTGCGTGACTTCATCTTGAAGTATCATTACAGTGAATATAAATGAAACATAACATCATCATTACCATGCATAATATAATACAACTGCCATTGTTTACATAAGGTACAATCTTTTAAATAACATGACCAAAACATTCAATGTATGATGTTTGACAGTACACAAAACGAAATCCCCTATTCTTGTTGATTCTTCTGCTTAACGAGTCCCTGAGAATATAAGTTATTTTGAAAATGTCAACATACATAATGTTGGTGAGTTCATAAGTATATTTGAGAAAATGATTTGTATAACTTTGTAATCACAAGAAAATCCTGTATTTTCTTAAAATAATTTGGTATGTTTATGTCTGATCTTGTATTAATGCATGTGTGTTATTGTTTAATAGAATGTCAAACGTGATTGAAGAATAGAATAAGGTTATAGTCACCCTAGACCGATGTAGTCTAACTGTAGCGAACAGCTCAGGTGTGGGGTGTCATCCCCATATAGATCTATACACAAAATCTCGCTCTTCTTCCAAGAGACTCTGATTATAACTACAGGCTACGATCGAACACTTAATAGGTGTCAACCGACAAAAACTCACTAGATCCTTAAACGAATTTACACGAAGATAAACGTATAAAACTCATTCCATGCCCAACGAACCATGTAAGTGAGCCACCAGGGCATCGCTAAACATGTGAGTCATTTCAAAACCTAATATGAATGAGATTATATAACATGGGCCCAAAATATATGTGAAAGGACAACTAAGGCCCATTTCACATGTAAGGTATTTATAGGCCCAAATAGCACGCAAATAGTATACAAAACCTATCAAACATATAAATGAGCCACTAAGGCCCAATAACCTAGAAATGATCAAAATTAATCCGTTTGTTAGTTTATTGTTGGTTTTGGTTCAAGTATTCACTAAAATAGCATAAAAGGCCCACTTTTTGTAAAAATGACGTTCTTGGCTCAATAAGCCAAAAATTTACAATTAAGGCCCAATTTTTGCAAAAATAACACTTTAGTCCCCATTTTGTTCAAAACTTGTGTTTATGACTAGTTTGTGGTAAAAATAACATTTTAAACCCATTTTTGTCAAAAATATCATTTTTTTGCTTGGTTTTTGTGAAAACACACATTTTTCTGGTTTTTGGCTTTTCTTACCTAGTTATTGAAAAATTTGTAGAAAAATCATCGTAAGTCGAAATTTGGATCCGTAAATTCTGGAAGTTCGGAAATTTTGTTCACAATTTTTCTCATAATTTTTAATGGCCTATAACAAGTGTGAAATTGCTCACCTTCACAGGCTGGTCCGAAATTATTTCAAATCTGATAGGCAGTTTTGTAAAATTCGCCAAAAATTGTAGAAAAATCGTATGAAAACGTGAGTGTAGTCATTTTAAAGGTATAAACCTGAACGTTTTGTATGTAAAACAGTTTTGAAAAATATTATCATTATGGAGGTCAAAACAGTTCGAGATTGGACCAAAACTTTTCTGCCAAGGGCTGAATTTTGAGTTTAGTTTATAGATCTTTGAACACAACACTCCTTTTTGCTATTTTAAGTGTATAAATCACAGATCTACAAGTTTACATGTATTATATGTGATAACACATACTTTTCTCAAGGTTTTCATGTAGATCCAAGTGATAAACTTAATATTTTTAACATATGTTTAGATTTATGAAGTAAATAGCACATAATCAACAAATAAGTCATGAAAAACACACATATTCATGCATATATACATAGATCTACATAAAGCAACTTGTATTCTCCCCCAAAACCAAGTAAAAATCGAAAATAGGGGGTATGAACTCACCTTTGCTTGTTGTTCTCGGTTTTGAAAAAGAAATGAAGAGATCTTGGCCTTTAGCAAGCCTTCTTGAGTGGTTTTCGAACTTAGATGGTTTCTAGGATGTTAGATCACGAATTGAAATTTTATAAGGGAGTGTTCTTAGCTTAAGGATGAAAATCAAAGACTTAAGTATCACAACAACTTACCAAAGATGATGATCTAGATGAAAACCTCTTTGAAGATTCACATAAAATCTCGAAATTTGAAGGAAGATGTAGGGGTTCTTGAGAGCTTTCCTTAAGAGATTTGTAAGTAAAATGAGTGTGGTGGTGATTTTTTTGCTCTATGGCCGAATTTAAGAAGAATAGGAGGGAGGTGGAGTGGTTTTTACTTAGTGGTTCATTGCTAAGTGCATAAATGTATGTGAAATAATAACATGGTTAACTAAAGGTTATTAGTGAGGTGGCACCTCACTAATCACCCTCTTTTGTTTTGTTTTATTTTGTTTTTTTTTTGGTTAAATGGTGTTGGGCCGAAATTTTGGGCCAAGAGGGTAGGACTTGGAATAGCTTGAGCCCATTAAACTTTAGTTAGGATTTTTGGAGTCTAATCATAAAATCTTTCGGCCCATTGGGCCTTTAGGGTATCTCACAGACCAATAGTATAAAAGAATGGGTTCTAAGGTCCATTAAGATTAATTGGAGTTGTTATGGCCCAATAAGGCCCATTAGGGTTAGAATGAATCATTCTAGGCCCAAATGGTCCAAAATGTTATAGATTTGATGAATTGATGATTTATT